GATTTGTTGGCCAGGGAAGTTGTGTCCAGATAAACTACTAATTTTTGTTATAAACCTTCTTCACTCCGCAATCAGGAACAAGTATTGTCAAAACAGGTCTTTACCATCTACAGTAACTGCTAGAGTACCACAAGAGTCCAATCTAGGACCTTTACTGTTTTTACGCCTCATAAACTATTTTATGCTTAACTAGATTTAACAACTCCAACGAGTAATTGTTTTTATAAAAATAATTTAACATCAGTAAGTGCCTAATTATGTGTTATACTATAGGTTTTATATGTATAAAGATTATTATGATACCAACAACAGTCTGAAAAAATTGGTCTAAGGTTATTTTTGAGAGAACTTCCCTCCTTCCTGAAATACAGAAAATTAAGGGGGAACGCTAAACGAGAGGCAAGTTTGAATTGGGCGCCATTTGTTGCCTTAAACGCAACCAGCAATTCTTCTTTAAATCCACCTGACGCGCTGGGATAGACGACTACCGGACGTGGGTCATAAAAGCATCGTAAGCCGATAATGCAGAATAATGATAATTTATGACAGGCGGCCCACAACATACCTTCAGCACAGAATAATCATTTCTCGTATTCTTTTGATATATTAATTTTAATATTCGAGATAATTATTATATTATTCAAACACAATTTAGACACTGTAGAGCAAACAAGGCTTATCAAGCCCATCCATTAGTTTATTAGCCTAAATGTATTATTAATACCGTTTTCAAATTACACCAAAACTGAAAAATCGAAAACTTAATAATTGAAAAATTGAAACATTTTAAATGAAAAAAATCGGTAAACCAAAAAATTGAAAAATCTATAAATCGTGAAATTGAACAATCTAAAAATTAAACGCTAAAAAAATCTAAACCGAGAACTTGAAAAATCGAATAATCGAGAAATCAAAACATCAAGGAAAACAAAAAAAGAACTAGAACTTAAAAATTGAAAAATTAAAATACCTATCGAAAAATTGAAAAACCGAGAAATCGAAACATCAAAAAATGGAAAAATTGAGGAATCGGAAAAGTGAAAAAATCCAAAACTGAAACATTGAAAAATCCAGAAATCGAAAAATTGAAAAATCACAATTGAAGAAAGAATTGAAAAATCAAGAAATAGAGAAATGGGAAAATCAAAAAATCAGTTAATCGAAAAATGGAAAAATCGAAAAATTTAGAAACGTCAAAAATTGAAAACTGAAAAATAAAAAAAATTTAAAATCGTAAAACTGAAATATCGTAAAGTTAATAAATTGAAAAACTGAAAATTTTTGAAAAAAAAATCGTATCAAAAACTAAAAATTCAAAAAATCGAGAAATTAAACAATCAAAAAATCAAAACATTGAAATCCCAGTAAGTTGATAAATAGGAAAATTTAAAAAACAAAAATTTTAAAAATCCAAGAATTGAATAACAAAAAAAATCTAAGCCTGAAAACTCAGAAAAGTGAATGATCGAGAACAAAAAATCTAAAATTCAAAAATTCGACAAATTGAAAAATCATGGAACTGAAAAATCGAAAAGTCGAGATAGTGAGAAATCTAAAAACCTAAAACTTTAAAAACTTTAAAATATCGAAAAATTTAAAAACCGAGAAAACACAATATCAAAAATTTGAAAAATTGAAGAAACGAAATATTGCAAAATTCCAAAGCTGAAATATTGAAAAACCTAAAAATGGAAGGAAAATTAAAGAATGGAAACAGTGAAAAAATCCCAAACGGAAACATTGAAAAATTGAGAAACGGAAAAATGGGAAAATCAAAAAAATTGGTCTAAAGAGTTTAGACAGTACTTCCCTCGCTATCGGAAACGTGACGACTGCATGCCTATTATGTTTTTTTTTTCACATTACATTTCAAAGCATTCGGTTTTGTAGTTCCTGATTAAATGTAATTAAAAAATAATATGAATGGAATGATAAATTACAAGAAGCGACTCATCATATTTTGTAAATTTTAAATAGGATTATACGGCAAACTTTTGAGCTGACGTCATCAATTTTTTGGAAGGGATAAGCAAATATATTTTGACTAAAAAATTATTATGCTCTTTATAACCTTAAAACATTTGCAAGATTTCAAAGCATTGGGTTCTGTAGTTCCTGATTAAATTAATAAAATAAATTTACGCATTCATTAATTTTTGGGGTCATCCTGTATATGCAAATCCAAAAAACATGAATGGAATCACAAGAAGAGACTCATCATTTTATACAATTTAGATAGGATTTATTCAGCAAAATTTTGAGATGACGTCATCAATTTTTTAGAGGGGATAAGTAAATATATTGTGATTAAAACGGTGCTGGTTTAATAACAAAACAATATTGTTCGTCTATAAAACAAGCTCGTCTTAGACAAAATATTCGTAAAAAAAATATGTCGTAAAAAATGTACGTATGCTGGTCCCGACTGCGATTATGGTTTAAATATTTTTTAGAAAATCCTGTCATGGATGTAGAAACATTTGTGACAGCCAAAGAGGTTTTTTTGAGAAAATTATCTTTGAATTTAGACCAAATTGAAATAGACACTAGGCAACAGGCACAGTTGGGCAAAAGAAAGAGAAATTAGGGTTACGGCTTCAAATTTTGGACGTATTTACAAACTTAGACCGACTACAGCAATAGCTAAAACTGTGGAGTCTCTATTGTACAGTACATTTAGAGGTAATAGTCATACATACTATGGACAGCAAAGTGAGGAAAAAGTTGTCAAGTGTTTTGAAATAAATAAAAATGTAAAAACTGAACGGTGTGGCTTGTTTATTTTAAAACAATTTCCTTACTTGGCTGCTAGTCCAGACAGGGTTCTAGAGGATAGGAGTGCATTAGTCGAAATTAAATGCCCTTCAAAATCGCAAGATTTGTCTCCCGAAGAAGCGGTTAGAAAAAAAATAATCAAATTTTGTACATTGACAGACAGAAAATTGAAACTAAAAAAAATCATGATTACTACTTTCAAGTCCAGGGACAAATGCTTGTTACGGGTATTTCACAAGTTTATTTTGTTGTATGGACACCCAAAGGAATAAATATAGAAAAAATGTATAAAGACGAAGAAATATATGTAAAAAGATGGCAGATAAACTTGGCAGATTTTACTTTGGCGCATTATTGCCCGAAATAATTGATTCAAGAAGAAAGAGGAACTTGCCTTTGGGAGAGATTTTTTTTAAATAAATAAAATTTGTTTCTATTTTTTTATGTACTTTAATAATTTATTAGGAGTACATTTTTCATCACCAAGACTTGCATATTTTTATTATAAATATATTTTAACAATGAAGGCAGAAGTTACTGGGCGTAGGGTTTTTTTAAAACACCTCCTTTCTGGGATAAGTAGTAGATACACTTAGCTACTTATACGTGTTAAACAAAAGCTGTATTTTATATATTTTTTATTATTATTATAAAAATGTTTATTAGTTTTATTAATTAACAAAGCAAAATATATATTAACAATAATATTACAATGAATTTTTAGTAATCATGTGTATTGAATTCAGGATCCTGAGTGGAGTAAAAATATTATAGTTCCCCAGTTTTAATTCGGTTTAATGATAGTACCTCATTGCGTAAAAGTTAATTTCCATAACAAAAGATTACTACGGCCGGTCCTGGGGGCTTGTTATAAAACTGAGTTCCTTGCCATAAATTAGAACAATCAGCTTATGGTAGAGCAGGCGATAAGAGTTTTACCTGGAAAGTCGCTTCCGCAAATTTTAGTGGCGCTCCTATCGGCAAAGTACTGAACTAACTGCTCAAATTCTGTCGAATTGATACCCATTTTTTTCAATAATTGTTAGTTTTTGTTAAAAACTCTGCTAACCAATAGATCATTAATTTTCCTCTGATATTCCTGTTAAAATTATTCGACGTATTTTGCATTAATTTGTGGTATATTTTGATTTTAATAAACACATTATTATTTAAACAAATTGTACCACTAACAAACATTTAATGACTGCGCCCTGTAAAAAGTGATATTTTATCCATGTGCGAATTTTCAAGCGATTCTATGATGGTTATGACTCAAAAAACTTGAAAAGAAAACATTCAATGGTGCTTTTTTTACGATATTTCTCAGCCATATTTTTTTAGTTGATTGAACTGGTCTCTGCGCTCTAGAATATGAAAAATGCTGCAGTTTGATGTATGATACATCTATATTAATATCACTTTTTCATACAAAAAACCAAAAAAATATTATACCTCGTCTAGCGAGTCCCCTTAACTTCATATTTCAAAATGAATTATTATTATTTTGTTTCACTTGGTCTATTTCCTAATAATAATTATTATGTTCTCCCCTCTTTCATGTATTACTTGTATCTCGAAATTTCTTAAATATGACCAGTTTAAAATTATTGGGAATGGGAAAAATTCTACAATTCGTACAGACCCATAATTTGTAGAAGCTTGATACCACACGATTTTTCAGTGATTAAAATTAAATTGACAAATAGAACTACAGCAAAAATGTCTAGATGTCTTAGCAGAAAATGATAGATAACATAAAATATTTGAACATCAAGACTGGTGGAAAAATATCGAAAATATTTTCAGAATCAGGATAAAAAAGTACATAACATAGGTATACGTGCTGGAATAAAAGAAAGGAACTTTTGACCAAATCTTTTTTCGGCTGAAGTGACCTGACCTGACCCGACCTGACCTGACCTGACATGACCTGACTAGTGAATATGAATTTGGAACAATTTTGTTCCTTATTCTGCTTGCAGATCAGATTTTTTCATTCATATAAGAATTTATGATATTTTGTCTTTAATGTAAGAAAGATTAAACCCTAATTTTTCAACCAACTAGACAACAAATTTTTTTACGTAGATTTGTAGTCCCGTTAAAATAAAACCCAATTGTTATTATTTATAAATTATATATACATTTATTTATTCATTGGCCACATACAGTACATGTATGACACTTTGCACAACCATACAAAATTAAAAATATTATCCCTCGAATCTCACTTATACCTATCGACGCACAATTTTATGTACAAACAACGACATATCTACAATCATAATAAAACAGCGTGCGACCTAACCTACCTCATTCACTACATCCCACCTTCTCAACAGAAAACACCTCTAAATCATCCAATTATCACTAATCATAAGGAACATTGCGTGTGTGCCTAACTACCCTACACAGTGTCACCCTAATAAATATCACTGAAAGTCAAAGTCTGCGAATTCTGCGAATGCAGGTGGTGGTGCAAGTCCTCCAACCCCTGGTGCGACATACTGTTCTCCCCCAGCACCCCCGACCCCACCGACGGCGGCCCCTGCCCGCCGTTCTGCCCCCCCGTCTGGCCGCTCTCCTGGCGCATGATGTTCCGCCGCCACTTGGCGCGCGCGTTCTGGAACCACACCTGCAGCACCCTCTTCGACAGGCCCGTCTTCTGGGCGAGCTGCTTCAGGTCTTTGGCGTCGGGGTTCTGGTTGATGGCGAAGTACGTCTTCATGGTGCGCAGCTGGTGGTGCTTGAAGGACGTCCGCATGCGCTTGGTGCGCTGGGTCTGGTGGCCGTTGCTGGAGGCTGGGGACGTCACCGACGAGTCGTAAGAGAGGGATTCCATGGACGAGGACAGGTCCCCTTGCTGAAGCATCTCTGCAAAAAGTTGAAACTGAGTTGATTGATGGAATTGCAGATGCGAGGTTTGCGGAGGCTGCTTTTTGTGTGTAGTGGAATGGGAATAAGTGGGGTTTTGATAAAAATAATGGATGGGAGATGTGTGCGTAAGCGGGGTTTTTTAAGTTATGGCTCGATGGTGTTTTCAGCGAGGAAAAAGTTTTCGAGAGTTTTCAAACTTGTAGGGAACGTCAGGAAGTTGAAGAAGTTGAACGGAAATTTCATGTCAACTTTTTTATGGATAAAAAGAGAAAAATAGGTACCTATATAATATATTCTATGCATAATTTATGCGGCGTATGAATATCTCAGGTATTATAATATCGTGAATAAGTAACTACTTTCAACGTTTCGATATTTATATATGTATTAACATTTGTTGAAAAATTAAAAAAAAACACTATTTGTTTAATTAGGTTGATACCAGATTAAACTCCTCTAGGGTTTATGTTTACAGTGCTAAGTTGGTATAAAAAAACTTCGATTTTGAAATTTCGTAACAAATTTATGAAAATTGTCAGCAGTGCTGAGAAAATAAGGGAATTTTTATTAAACGCAAAACTTTGTTTAATAAATCCTACCTAAAATTTACAAAATATTATTAGTGTATATTTTACATATTTTTTAGAATTACTTATGCAAGTGGCTCCAAAAACTAGATATTCAGTGAACAAAGTTATTTTATTGATCAAATCAAGAAAGGTTTACCGTATTTTTCCGAAAATTTTAGACCACTTTTTTAGATCTTCACAGCAATTTAACTTTTTTTTAATTCAAAGTAATGAAACATTTATTAGGATTCTAGGCAAGCAGAAGATTTGCTTTTGATAAGGAGCTGAATGTTACCAATAGCTGATATTTTACAGGCCTCCAAAAATTTATTGTTGGCAAATCTGTAATTACTAAAACAAAATAGTTTTTTAATTCGGCGTGATTTACCAAATTCATTCTAATTTTTTCATGAAAAGAATGAAGAACTGGTTTTTGATTTCGAGACTGAGTGAAAATGAATAAACTAAAGTGTTTAAACAGTACTTTCTTCGTTTTCTAAAACTACAAAAAAAAAAATTGTTAAAATTATGTAAAGTCTCCCAAATACTATAAGTTTATATGGCTCTTGTAAAATTAGGATATTGTGAAAACGACAATAGAGCTGCCAATCAGGCAAACCCACAGTTGTAAATCTTTGCGAGTGTACCTGCCGCCGACCGTCATCCATTCCAAAAACAGTTGAGAAGATTGAGTATTTTTGGAAACATGAACAAACAAATTGTATTTGGTTTAATGTACTAAAAATATTTAAGCTGATTACCAAGTGCTAGATATTGAGGTGGCAAGATATCGAGACAAATCCTTGATTTATGACGCTAGGCTTGAGTCGGTAACCAGCCGCACAAAAGGAATTATAACATCCCATTATTAAGTTTAGTGGAGCCATATAACCTTGTAGTATTCGGGACACTATATATAAAAAGAAGCTAAGCGGTTTTTCTTGTTGCGAAATTAGCCAACTTTTGCTGAAATTTAAACTAATTTTGCTATCTATATATAAATAATAAGCGTTACTACGTCTTAGGATTCGATATCCTCAGAGAACTTATTTATTTTAGGCCTTCATTACGATCAGGAACTACATAGCGAGCTCTTTGAGCATAGGTGCTCTATGCATTAAACAGTTTGTTTTTTGTTTTAATTTCAGTTGTTTGTTTTAATTAATTGAAAACAAAATAAATAAGTGCATTTTTTTCTGGCATCAAAAAAATTGGTCTTATATTAATAAACAGAACTTTTTTCACCCTTGAAGTACAATCAAACAAATCAAGTTTTTTAGAAAAAATATAGATAATGCCATTTGCAGGCTAAGAAAAAAAGTCCCTCAGGGAAACGTCCCCCAGGGAAACGTCCCCGTGATCTTCGCGTTAAGGCCAGTCGCTACATTTTCTGAGTGGAATTTTCGGTCTATTTTCAGAATGTAATATCTCCGTTATTAACCGACTTATGGTTTTGAAATTTTAAATATATATTGTTCATAACTGTCTTTATATACCGGAATGACAATTTTGTTAGAAACAATTTTTGCATAACGTATTTATTTTAAAAAATTAATATCTCAATTATTAAAGGAAATTTCAGAACACAGTTTTCAACAATGTTGTCAAAACTCCAGAAATCATACCAGATATATCGTCGACTGTTTTTGTTAGAAATGATACACAGTAAAAAAAGCTTGTGTCGTATCTCAGTCCCAACAAATAAAGTCAAAAATAGCCCTGATACGATTTCTAAAGTTTTGCAAGCTGAAAACAGTGGTGAAAACCCCGTTCCAAAGTTTCCATAAATAACTGAAATATTGATTTTTTAAAATACGTGATGCAAAAATTTCACAAAATTAAAAAAATATATGATAAAAAATTAAAAAAAAAAATACTGCTCTGGCAGTTATATAGTGAAAGTTGTGGAAAAGTTACATTTAAAATTTCATAACAATAAGTGTGTTAATATAGAGATATTTTATTTTGAAAATATATTGAGAACAGGCGCGTTTGCGTTAGTTTAAAATCTAAATGCCGCGTTTTAAAACTCAAGACGGATTCATAAATTGTAGTGATCGGAGTGTGTTATTTTATAAAATTTAAGTAGCATTTACCACGCGAAATTTTGCAGTAATGTAATCAAATTGTTGATGGGGATGGTTACACAAAATAATTTTTGTGATTTTGCCTCACGTTTTACCATATATTTCTACATGATAGATAGAGGTTTTAAAGGTTTAATAAAAATCGACACAGACGACAGACAGACAGACGACAGACAGGCGAGAGACAGACGACAGACAGACGGCAGACAAGACGGCAGATAGACGATAGACAGATGACAGATAGACAACAGACTGGCGACACACGGACGACAGACAGCAGATAGACAACAGACAAACTAAAGATAGACAACAAACAGACGACACACGGACGAAAATGGGAGGCCTACATTTTCATATTCTATAGGCAATGAAATGTCTCGAAAACATGACAGTAGCTTACGCCCGAAAAGTAAAGTGTACACTTATAGGTAGGTAGTCATCACTGAATTCAGAATCAAAATTCACTTTTTATTGGTATAAATTTACGCTGTAACAATAATTTTATTTATACTTATTATATTCGATATTTTTACAGCCATTGAGCGTTTCTGAACGTTCATTTTATAATAGTTTAACTGTTATCAAATTTTGTTTTTTTTTTACGAAAATCTACATGCCGCCGGTAAAAACTCAAGATCGATTCATAAACCACAATGACATGAATGTGTCATTTTATCAAATTTAAGTAGCATTTACCATGCGAAATTTTAGAGTGGCGTCATCAAATTGTTGATGAGGATGATAAGACAAATTTTGGTTAGATTTTTACCTCGTGTTTTAGCATCTACAAGGTACCCCCTTAAAATACACTTAAAATTTGTCACTAATCAATCAGGTAGTTTTGGAAGTTAAAGGTCTAATAAAACCCACACAGACGACAGCAGACGTTGGATAAGCAGACGACAGGCAGATAGACAGCAGAGAGACAGACAACAGACAAACGACAGACAGATTACAGACAGTTGAGCGATAGACAGGCCAGAGACAGACAGGCGAGAGACAGACAGACGAGAGCCAGATAGACGGGAAATAGATATACGAAAAATAAATAGACGACAGACGACGGAGAGACTAGAGACAGACAGACAGACGACATACAGACAAAGGACAAAACAGGCGAGAGATAGACAGACGACAGTCAGATAGACGGGAAATAGATATACGAAAAATAAATAGACGACAGACGACGGAGAGACTACAGACAGACAGACAAACAGACAGACGACATACAGACAGAGGACAAAACAGACACACAAACGACAGACAGACGAAAATGGGAGGCCTACATGTTCACAGTCTTGGGGTCGCAAAATGTCGAGAAAACATGAAAGTAGCTTGCGCTCAGAAAGTAAAATATACGCTTATAGGTATTCATCACTGAATTCATAAACAAAATACACTGTTTATTGATATAAATTTACCCTATAACGCTAATTTTGTTTATATTACACGGGCTATATTTTCATCTATCGAGCGCTTCTAAACGTTAATTTTATACATATTAATTTAAAATGTTATCAATATTGGCTTTTTACGAAAATCTACAAGCCGACGGTAAAAACTCAAGATGGATTCATAAACCACAATGACATGAGTGTGTTATTTTATAATATTTAAATAGCATTTACCATGTAAAATTCTGCAGTGGCGTCATCAAATTGTTGATGAGGATGATAAGACAAATTTTACTTAGCTTTTTACCTCACATACATGATACATTAAGGCAAATCGTAAATTTTGACTCTGACAACTTTTCTTTTGATAAATCGTATACATTATTAATTCAAAGAGAGGCGAAACATCCTTAGAGTGAAACTTTAATAATACTGCTAAGTTTGTAGCGAAAAGAAATAGCCAAATGTTGATATATTAGTATTATTTATTTGATACAACCTCTGTAACTTTTTTATTCTTAAAGATAAACCTGTAGTTCTTTGAGCAAAGTTGTATGATTTTAAAAGATCTATGTGACGTCAACTTTATAAGGAACACTAGGTATATTTTTTCATAAATTGAAAGATAATTGATTTTTTCTATAATCAATACGTAAAAAGTTATTCAATAAAATACACGAAACATTCATATTCATTGATGACAATTTAGTAGCTTGAAAAATTGACACTCATGTCATTTATTCGCATAAGTGATCTTTTAAAATGATACAAAATTGCTCAGAGAACTATCTGTTTATGTTTAAAAATTAAAAAATTACGGGGGTTGTATAAAAAAAAGAAACACGTGGTATACTATCACACTGATGACAAAAATAGTGTTTCCAGAACTTTAGAAGAAATAGATCAATCGTTCTTGATTTAATAATTAAAAAATCTTGTTTACGTAA